TCTCTCTCTCTCTCTCTCCCTCTCTGTGTCTCTGAGTCTGTCTGTCAATCTGTCTGTTAGTTGCTTGTTTCTATTTCGCTGTGTCTCTCTCTCCCTCTCTCTCTTTCTGTCTCTCTCTGTCTGTCTCTGTCTCTCTGTCTCTCTGTCTCTCATTTTCTCTCTCTCTGTCTCTCTGTCTCTCTGCCTCCCTGTCTCTCCCACTCTCTCTCTCCCTCTCCTTAATGGCAGTGGCGGTGGGTGGACCAAAATTTGGGTGGGGCTTAGGTTGCTTTCACTTCTTTATCACCAAATAGTAAGCAATAAGAACAAAACAGTGGTGATTTTTCCATACTCAAGGCGAGCCACGGCTTTTTGAGAACCATTCAAACGAGAAGAGTCACTTTTGTCTTCCTTCTCTTTGTTCTACGTTAAATTCTTCTAGGTGCTGGGGACGAAGCCGTTTCACCTCCAAACGTCTCTAATCACGTTTCATCTGATGAAAAAATTGCCTCTAAAGTGGTTTGATGTTATTAATAACTGTTAAATTTCAGCGGCACACACACACACAAACATGCATACACAGCACTCCACGAGCTGGATTAGGCCGTGTAGTCGAGGAAGAAAGTAGACAGCACCTAACAAAGGTCCAATGGGAGCGTAGGTAAATGTGTCACTTGGGAAAAGCGTGTCGTAAACTTTCACCCCATTGTCAGGGCTAGGACAGCGTGAGCCGGCTCTGCAGTGTTATATTTTTCAAATCTTATACCTTTTTACAAGAAGGGTTTCATTAACGAGGGGTCGTGGGAACGGGATCATCCTTTCCTGAGCCTCAAAGGCATTTGATTGGCTGTTAGGTTACTATAGTGGTAAGTGGTGGCAACAATGATTGGATAAACGAGCAAGCCGCCAAGTTGATCATTCTGTGCTCATTGCGTGCGATCATAACGGTTCCAACTGCTTGTTTTGTTATTTCCTTTTGCTTTGCGGTAGAGTTGGGGGATGGGGAGGGAGGCTCAAGCCCGTGAGCCCTTCAGCCCCCACCGTCACTGCTCAATTGCCTTTTATGTGAAGTGAACCAGCCATCAGTGATGTGCAAGTACACTTTTTGAAAACGCCCACAAAAAAGATGTCTCTTCAAACTTTTGTTAAGACTATATGAACACGGTGTAACTGGTACTAGGACACAGTTTTGGTTTTTCTAGACAAAACAATATTGTCTAATATCTTTTTCCTGTGAAAACAATTAGATATTCAGATATCTAAGCCTCTTGTTGACTTATGCCAATAGTCATTTGTCGTCTTCTCCTTTATCGTGTCGATTCTGTAGACACAAACTTTCAAATGAGAGAAGACAGAGGCTTAACCTGTAATATATTCTGTTCTTCAAAGGAAAACTTATTCATGGGTGTGAGGAGTCCCATATATATTATTACTATTATTTCTATTACCTTCGTTTTTTATTTTTGGTTTTACTTGTACTATCATTACTAAAACTATGTTAGATTATTGTTATTATTAGTTTTATAGTTATCATTAATATTGTTCTTAACATTATTATTCTACTTATGTATTGTCATATTTGACAGCTGACCGTATCGCCTTCAACTTTTGACTGATTCAAAAAGTTATTCTAAATCATTCCTTTTGAGCAACACCAAAACATGATGCGAATTTGCATGCAGCTTGACACCGTTAAAGAGACTCACTTGCTTCCAGATAATAATGTCTAAAGAAGTCACACTAGCTCTCTTATATTAGGCCCTATATATATCAATAGATCTATCAGTAATGTATGTTGGCATTGTACAATTTGTGCAAAACTGGACGTGATAATATGTACTGTAGGCCTACATTTCACCTATCTGAAAAATGTCAGTTTTATCATGTTGGTGGGGTTTTTCCTTCAAAGGTCTTCAAAAGAATCAAATTACTCTGGGTCTCAGGCCACATCAGACTGTTGTGTTGTTCAGCCCACAACCATTGATTAATTTTTTGACTGATGATGTGATAAAATTATATCTTTTTTTGTTTTTTGTATTTATCTTCAATTATCGTGCTAACTGTTTTAGTGAGGATAAGGGTCATGTGTTGAAATATTATTTTTAAAAATTGTTCACGCTTAACCTACTGTTGGCTGTTGTTATCAGCGCTTGGATGAGCAATCTAGTCAAAAGTGTCTAGTCAGATGCGGTTGTTACACAGCGTTTTCGTTTTTGACACAATGAAGTAGATGTATATAATTTGTCTATACCTTACGTGCAAAAAGAGGTATTTGTGTTAAATGTGTTCAGAATAATCTGGAAAACTAGCAAACGTATTTCACGTTAAATTAGTAGTTACACCATGTAAAATGTTTTAATATATTTGA